GCCGAATGAGTAACTAGTGAATATTGTGAATCACTTAATTTGTGGAATTGTTAGAAATTTTGTCAACAATTTAGCCCCAGGGAGAGCTAGCCTAACTACTTTGGCTAAAATCTAGGGAATAATTGGTAGTCTGCCTTCTGGGATTGCAGATTTTCTGTTCACTGATTTTAAGAGCAGAGTTTAAATGATAAAAGCTAATGGTATGGACGAAGGGTGAGTAGTTTTAATAATTTACATTACTTTTACATGTGAAAGAAAATCTCATAGAATTTTCTAGGGCATCCACCTGCTGATTGAGAAGAATCCTCATGAATTCATCCCAAATGGTCATCCAGCTTCAGAGAAATCTGAGTGAGTTGATCTCAGGACTGATTTCTTCTTATTTCCATTTTCAGGTCTTTGCTTCTCGCTCTAGCTCATGCCTCCAACTTTGGTCCGTCATTAAGTTTCATCCCTAGAAACGCCCTTGATCTGACCCATATCACCATCTCTATTCCATCCCAGCACATATTTCTGTTTTTTCTTTGTTTCATGTCTGATTATTTTATTCTCATTATTCCATTTTCTGGCTATATCTACATGATAAATTACTGCAATAATCAGAATAAACCATCCAGGTAGCACATTGTTATTTCCTTATTGCTAAGTAGAAATTTGTATCTTTAAGACTTGGTTGATAATCCCTGGATATATTGTTGACATTCTATGAGGCAAACACTTCAGATTTACTTATCAAGTTAATCGTGTCTGTTTTTATTTGTAGGTGGTTGTGATGAACACATGATGTAATATACTGCAAAGCACCTATAATAAATTTTAATATTGTTCCTATGATAATATTTTTTACTAAAGAATCTATTCATATTTGTATTTATGAAATGATTTTGTGGATTTTGTTTAACCAAATTGATTTTACTGCTTTTGATATATAAGCAAGTGAAATATAAGTTTAGGACATTTTTATGAAATAATGAACAAGAATGTTTTATATTTACTTATTTTCCTTTTCAGAACTATGTGTAAAAAACATACAAAACAAGTGTGGGTAAAGTGGTCTCAAATAAAATGAAAACGATAGACTCCTGGTGTTTTTGATTGGTGGGCCACACATCAAATGCCAAGCTAATTTGTCATTGATAAAAACCCAAAGAATTGAGGTACATTTATGTAATGACCAATTACATTAATTTGTTACACTTCTTTGTAGAATTTTTATTCTACAACTAATTTTGTTTATGTTATTTACACTCCTGTCTCCATAACCCTGCATGTTTCCTCCAGCTGGAACATACAGCCTTTCATTCATTAGAAATCCTTCCAACTCTTTATATGACAACTTACAAATTGACTTCATCAATACCTCAGTTTAAAATATTTTTACTATTTTCTAAATTTCTATAGGACATATATCCCACAATAATATCTGTTAGGTGATAGATATAGAGATTTGTAGAAAAATAGATAAATGCATATATGGTGTTATACATGTGGGTATATGGTGTTATACACGTGGGTATATAGTGGTATACATGTGGGTATATGGTGGTATACATGTGGGTATATGGTGGTATACATGTGGGTATGCATCTTATTCCTGACTTACAGGACTTCACAATGCATATCAAAGGCATACATATGAGTGTGTGTATATATATGGTATGTATGTCTATGTCTAGTATTAATAATTGGGCATATTTATATATAATAATTTGGTCCTTGAAATAAAATTATGAATACTTAAAAGGTAGAAATCATAATATACCTACTTTTGTATCTCTGCTCATGCTTCCTCCTTGTGTTAAACGTTAAATTTTTTGCAAAATATAATTAAAAGCAGAAAAAGACACCACGCCCTTGCTGACTATTTGTCAAATGGTATTTGGCTTCAGGGATGATAATTTGTTCACAGTGAACATCAAGATGCAATATAAAGAAAAGAGAGTATAAAAAAATAAATAGGAAGAGATGAATTGGCAGTGAGGATGACCATAAAAAATGTCCAAACAGTTTTTCATGAATAGCAGGTGCACAACAAGTAGATCTGCAGTAATGAATTAATAAAATATATATTATCATTTATTTATAATTAGAAATTATTCTATGTGATAGTAATGTGTGCATCCATGTAGTTTTGTCTTTTCTATATTCAGCCTTACCTGATTTTTTTATATTGATTAGAGAGAAATAGTAGCATTATAAATGTATTTATTCTTTTGTCTACATTCTTGAATTGATCCTTTCATAATGAATCAATAGCAACATGGCATAATACTCTTATTTCTGCTAATATACAAAGAAATTTCAGGTTAGAATGTTCAAGAGACTGGTCTAAAACCTGATTTCTGTAAAAACAAAACAACTGCTGACTCGATTCTCAGTGTGCCTTGGACTCTTCTCTAATTCTTAATAGAGTTTGCCAAGCACCAACATCAGAGCACACAGGGTATGATTCTACACTCATTATTTTGAGAAATAATCAATTTAAAACATCACTGCACAATTCTGAATCTAAATGGATATTAGATTCAAATAACAAATTCACTATCTACTAATCTGTACATTATAAAAGCAAACACAAGAATTGTCTTAATTACTAAGGTATTCTGCTTGTCAGAAAGACCTTCATTGTATTCTGGAATCCTAATTTTTACTAGCACATTAATGTCTAAATGGCTGGAGTAGAGTAAGCATCTTTTATTGATAAGAAAATATTAAATCTAGCTATATCTGGCATAGATAGCACCTTACTTGTGGTGTGAGTAGTTGACATCAGGTGTCTGTCTCCTCAGCCAGTAGTGACAGGGAGAAGTGACATGCTGGGAGAAGGCCCTGTTTGTCCTAGGCTATTGCAGAGCAAAGGTTCAGTTCTAGCAGAGAGCACAGTATGTGTTTTCCTGTGGCTGCTGTTGGACATTCTGTTTGATCCTCTCACTTACAATCTGAGGCTATTATATCATAATAGGACTCCAAAGTCATTGTGTCCAAACTTCTTCATTAGGTAAATAAGGAAACACCAAGTTAGATGCACTGTTTTTCTAACTCGCAAGACAAGCTTGAGACATGGGTATAATTAATTTTCTTAATTTAAGAGATGAGAAAACTATGCTTACATATTATGTAACTTGTCAAAATTCTAAGCTAAGTCTGACTTTTGAAACATTATTTTAGTCATTTCTTTTGAGTGGATATTAAAGTAAATCAGAGAGGGTTAATTCATTTCATTATCAGAACAACACTCAGTTGGTGTTTGAGGGTAGATAAAATTAAATCTGAATGAGCCACTTTGCCCAGACTGTCTTTACTAGATAGTCATTGTAAAGGCAGATTGAGGAATTCTCCCTTCTGTTTCTGCCTTTCTGAGGGGTAGTACTTGGGCATCCTATTCTTTCTTCCTGAAAGATAAAAAACTGTATTCTGCTTTGTTTCCTTTTATTGTTATGGATTGGATAATGTTCTCTCCAAAATTCATACATTGAAGTATTAGTCCCCTGTACCTCAGAAGGTGACTGTATTTGAGGATCAGAGTTTTTAAAAAGATCATTAAAATCAGGTCATTGTTGTGTTCCCTAATCTAATAGGATTAGTGTTCTTTTAAGAAGAGGAAATTTGAACACAGACAGGCACAGAGGAAAGTCACACGAAGAGACATGGGAAAACATGGCCTTATAACAGCCAAGAAGGGAAGCCTGGAACACACCCTTCCCTCTCAGCCGTTGGAAGAACTCAGCTCTGACAACACCTCGTTTTTGAACACTTGGCCTCCAAAACGGTGAAATAAATATCTGTAGTTTAAGCCACCCAGTCTGTGGTGCTTTGTTACAACAGCCTTAGCAAATGAATAGATTGACAATCTCCAAATGTAAATTTTTGTACTCCATATGTTCCTAGAGAGGTTAGAACAGCAGAAATTTTCAATTAGGTTTTGAAGTAGTTTGGGCCATATTTTATTTTTCAAAAAGAGTGATTACAAAGCCAATACACATTTATTTTGTTTTCTAAAAACATCATTATTATCCTATGCCCAGAAATAACCACTATTATTTTGTGTATAAAGATTGACAGAAATTTTTAGATCATAGTTCAAAAATTTTATCAAGACTAATAAATTATTTTTTAAAAACCTATTCATTTATAATAACATGAAAAGTCTAATATGATTAATAAAAGTTGTGGACGTGGCAGACTCAAAAGAAAATTTAAATCACTGCTTTAAAAATCAAATTTGAATTGGTTTTAACTCATTTTTACAGTACTATTGTGAGTTAAATACAACTGTGGAGACTGCCTCTGATTTCCAAGTAATGGTCTTCTTTTATTCAAATTGTATGTCAGCAGACTTCCTCTTCCTCAAATCATAGTCCTTCACATGCAGTTTCTCATTCTTAACTTTAAAATGGTAAATCCTGTGAAGGTGCTGATGACACCATCCAGGTATAGCAAGAGGGATGAACACCAGCTAGTTAAATGCCACAGACTAACGCATGTCTTTGGTACTGGTAGGTCCTGAATCAAGGCCAACTGTGTGTCCAGTATTTCAGAGTTCAGTCCTATATGCAAGATTTCTACTGTGAGAGAAAAATCAGTGACTGGATATATTATTGCATGAAGCAGAGGCCCTTGTGTCAGATCTAGCCCATAATTTCTCTGTTTGGCACACTGGGAGATGTTATGCTAAAATCAGAACATTTATACCAAAAAATGTAAAGATTTGGCCTCATAGTGCCTGAAATCTCATGCAGGTAACACTTAGCTGAAATCTCATGCAGGTAACACTTAGCTGTACCTATCCTATCATTACTTGTTCCTGACCTGCTCATATATTCACATTATGTGCTCGACTTCTGTTAGGATTTGAGTTAGGACCGTTTGCCTGCCCTTTCCCTAAAACAACCTCTACCCAATGCAGTAAATACAGCAGTTGTTGATTGGATAATCACTGAATGAATGAGACCTTTTGCATTAAGTAATGTATACTATTCCAAAGTTTATTGTTTATTTTGTGTGCATATATCCAGTTACTTAATGAATACATGTTTATTTTCTTTCGTTTATTCAGAACTTGTTATCTCTCAGACTTAACAGAGAAACAGCAAAGGAGAAAAAAGAAAAGCAAATGGGAATTATCAACCACCGTTGGGATGAGATTTATTTTCAACCACTATGGATCACTTTGTGGTTGTTTCCTTTGCACTGAATATCACTAAAGCCCCAACCATTTTGAATATTATTTGGCTTTCCCCTCTATGACTTGGAAAGAAAATGACAAATGAGACCACCGTGACTGAATGTATTCTCAAGGGCTTCTCAAACGTGCCTGAAATGACTCTTATTAGCACTGCACTCTTCCTTTTCATCTACCTTTTTGCCCTTGTGGGGAACATGTCCATCAACCTAGCTGTGGCCAGAAACATCCGCCTCCATACTCCCATGTACTTCTTCCTGCAGAATCTGTCTTTCTTGGACATGTGCTACACCTCAGTCACTGTCCCGAAGGCACTTATCAATTCACTTATGGGCTTCAAAGTCATTTCCTTTTGGGAATGTGTGGCTCAGCTCTATATATTTGTAATGCTGTGTGCCTCTGAGTGCTTCTTACTCACATACATGGCATATGACCGTTGTTTAGCCATCTACAAGCCTCTTATCTATGGTTTCATTATGAGCAGAAAGCTGTGTACAGAGCTTGTCATTGTGGCCTGGTTAAGTGGAGCTCTCTATGCCATCTTTCACACTATCAACACCTTCTCTCTACTATTCTGTGGGCCCAATGTCATTGACCATTTCTTCTGTGACTGCTCTCCCATTATGAGACTGTCTTGCAGTGACTCCCATGTCAATCAAGAAGTTGGATTCGCAGTTGGGGGGTGTATCATTCTCAGTGCTTTTGCCCTCACCATAATCTCCTATGTTCTCATCATCTCTACCATTGCTCAAATCCACTCTGCTGGTGGCCGTCAAAAGGCTTTCTCCACCTGTTCCTCTCACCTGGCCACTGTCATTCTGTTTTATGTCACTGGGAGCTTTGCTTACCTCACACCCACTTCCCAGTACTCTCCCACTCAAGGACGGTTAGTGTCTGTGTTTTACTCCATCCTCACACCCAGCCTAAATCCCATCGTCTACTGTCTGAGAAACAAAGACATGCAGATGGCCCTGAAAAAGCTGTTTTTCTATCCAAGTAGACATGTTTTCTTGTATTGACTATATTGCTGTGAACATTTTTCCACATTGACTATGTGCATGTTTAGGAAGGCAGCTTACTCGTTGGCAGAAAGGGATCACAGATTTCACTCTTGATAAAACGGCAAATTAAGAAAAGAATAATTTCTGAGGCCTCCGTTCTGTTCCGTTAGTCTGTATATCTGTTTTGGTACCATTACAATGTTTTGGTTATTGTAGCCTTGTAGTATAGTTTGAAGTAAGGTAGCATGATGCCTCCAGCTTTGTTCTTTTGGCTTAGGATTGTCCTGACTATCCCGGCTCCTTTTTGGTCCCATATGAAATTTAAAGTAGTTTTTTCTAATTCTGTGAAGAAAGTCAATGGTAGATTGATAGGGATAGCACTGAATCTATAAATCACTTTGGGCAGTATGACCATTTTCATGATATTGATTCTTCCTATCCATGATCATGGAATGTTTTTCCATTTGTTTGTGTCCTTTCCTATTTCCTTGAGCAGTGGCTTGTAGTTCTCCTTGAAGAGGTTCTTCACATATCTTGTAAGTTGTATTCCTAGGTATTTTATTCTCTTTGTAGCAATTGTGAATGGGAGTTCGCTCATGATTTGGCTCTCTGTTTGCCTATTATGGGTGTATAGGAGTGCCTGACAAAAACAAGCAATGGGGAAAGGATTCCCTACTTAATAAATGGTGTTGAGAAAACTGGCTAGCCATAGGCAGAAAACTGAAACTGGACCCTTTCCTTACATCTTATACAAAAATTAACTCAAGATGGATTAAAGACTTAAATGTAATACCTAAAACCATAAAAACCCTAGAAGAAAACCTTGGGAATACCATTCAAGACATAGCCATGGGCAAAGACTTCATGACTAAAACACCAAAAGCAATGGCAACAAAAGCCAAAACTGACAAATGGGATATAATTAGACGAAAGAGCTTCTGCACAGCAAAAGAAGCTATCATCAGAGTGAACAGGCAACCTACAGAATGGGAGAAAATTTTTGCAATCTATCCATCTGACAAAGGGCTAATATCTAGAATCTTCAAGGAGCTTAAACAAATTTACAAGAAAAAAAAAAAACCACACCAAAAAGTGGGCAAAGGATATGAACAGGCACTTCTGAAAAGAAGACATTTATGCTCCCAAAAAACATATATAAAAAAAAAATCTCATCATCACTTGGTCATTAGAGAAATGCAAACCAAAACCACAATGAAATACCATCTCATGCCAGTAAGAATAGCGATCATTAAAAAGTCAGGAAACAACAGATGCTGGAGAGGATGTGGAGAAACAGGAATGCTTTTACACTGTTGGTGGGAGTGTAAATTAGTTCAACCATTGTGGAAGACAGTGTGGCAATACCTCAAGGATCTAGAACCAGAAATATAATTTGACCCAGCAATCCCATTTCTGGGTATATACCCAAAGGATTATAAATCATTCTACTATAAAGACACATGTACATGTATGTTTATCACAGCCCTATTCACAATAGCAAAGACTTGGAACCAACCCAAATGTCCATCAGTGATAGACTGGATAAAGAAAATGTGGCACATATACACCATGGAATACTATGCAGCCATAAAAAAGGATGAGTTCATGTCCTTTGCAGGGTCATGGATGAAGATGGAAACCATCATTCTCAGCAAACTAACACAGGAACAGAAAACCAAACACCACATGTTCTCACTCATAAGTGGGAATTGAACAATGAGAACACACGGACATAGGGTGGGGAACATCACATACCGTGGCCTGTTAGGAGGTGGGGAGGTAGGGGAGTGATAGCATTAGCAGAAATACCTAATGTAGATGAAGGGTTGATGGGTGCAGCAAACCACCATGGCACGTGTATACCTATGTAACAAACCTGCACGTTCTGCACATGTACCTCAGAACTTAAAGTATAATAATGAAAATAAATAAATAACAAAATTAAAATTAAAGAAAAGAATAATTATCTGCCATTAAATTTATTTTGTCAATTGTAGAAATTTTAATAACTTCTGTCCTACGTCTAGTTTTATCTGATACTTTGTGATAAAATGGGGAGTAACAGTGCTGTTTTGGTCAGTTGCATTTTCCTTATCAACTCAAGAGAAGATGAGACAATAAACAGTCTCTATCTTTTTAGTCTATAATCCCACTACTTCTGTGCAGATGGTAGGGGGAAAAGTCAATGTATTGCTTGCAAAGAGCTGCATGTAGAATGTGGTAGGGCATTTATTTCCTGATGGCAAGTACCTGGGCAAATAGATTCAGGGTCTCTTATCACCTGATAATGGGTTATTGATAAGAGGCCAAAGGAATGTCTTCATCTTTTAAATATATAATTAATGCCCACAACCAGCATAAATATTTGTGTTGGCTATCCACTGGACATATAAATGTGTTTCTGAATAAGCCAACTTGACGAGATGAATTTATGGGGGATGATGTTTAGCATGTAGATATGGGAATGAGAGACCTACAATATTTTGAAGCATTTGGAATCAGATAAGTATTACAAATGTTTGTCTTGACACATTTTTGTCTCTCATAGATGCAGTAAATCAATCTTACATTTCATTGGTTCTTTATATTTGTTAAGATGATTGACTTCATATATATATGTTATGTAAACTTTTTAAGTTGCAGAAATAAGATCTATGTTTGTTTCTTTGCTTGTGGCAGAACATACACATGCACACACATAAATATCAATATATAGACTTACGGCTATATGATATGTGCCCAACATGTTGCATTTTAGAGGGTCTGGACACAATGACTGTGTATTTATCTTAAAATAAAAATTATTAGACTAATTGGATCTAATAGATATATTCAGAACACTCCACCCGGAACAGTAAAATGCATGTTTTTCTCAGGATAGACCATATATTAGGCCATGAAAAGTACTAATAAATTTTTAAAAACACAATTATAAAAAATATTTTTTAATTCCAATGAATTAAAATAGAAATTAATAGCAGAATAAAATGGAAAAAAAATCACAAATAAATATAAATAAATAACATGATTTTAAAAAATAGAGTGAAGAAATCAATAGAGAAATTCAAAAACACCCTGAGCTAAATTAAAATGAAAATACAGCATACCAAAACTTTAGAAGAAGCAGAAACTGAGCTATGAGGGAAATATATGTAAATGCTTACATTAAAAAATATAAATATACTGCAAATGCTTATATTAGAAAAGAGCAAAGATCTCAACCTAACAACTTAATTTATACCTTAAGAAACTATAAAAAGAACAAACTTGGCCGGGCGCGGTGGCTCAAGCCTGTAATCCCAGCACTTTGGGAGGCCGAGACAGGCGGATCACGAGGTCAGGAGATCGAGACCATCCTGGCTAACACGGTGAAACCCCGTCTCTACCAAAAAAATGCAAAAAACTAGCCGGGCGAGGTGGCAGGTGCCTGTAGTCCCAGCTACTCGGGAGGCTGAGGCAGGAGAATGGTGTAAACCCGGGAGGCGGAGCTTGCAGTGAGCTGCGATCTGGCCACTGCACTCCAGCCTGGGCGACCCAGCGAGACTCCGTCTCAAAAAAAAAATAAAAATAAAAAAAGAAAATGAACAAACTAAATACACAGCAGAAGGAAGGAAATCAATATTAGAGATAAACAAAATAGAGTACAAAAAAATACAGAAAATTAAAACAAGAATTGGTTATTTGAGATGATAAGCAAAATTTTTTAAAAGTTAACTAGATTGAAAAAGAAAAAAGAATATTCAAATGACTAAAATCAGAAATAAAAGCAAGAACACTAAAAGTAACTTCACAGAAATAGAAAGGATTATAAGAGAATACTGTGAACAATTGTGTGCCAACAAATTAAATTACTAAATAAAAAGAATGAATTCCTAGAAACAAAGAATTCAAATAGCAACATGAATCATAAAGAAATAGAAAATCTGAACAGAATTATAATAAGTTGAATCAGGAATCAAAAACTTCCCACTAAAGAAAAGCCCAGGGTGAGATGGCTTTACAGTTGAATTCTGTTGTTTAAAGAATTAATATTAATCCTTCTCAAATTCCCCCAACAAATTAAAGATAAAAGAACACTTCCAAGTTTGTTCTATGAAGCCAACCTTACCCAGAAAATAAAGTCAGACAAAGACATTACAAGAAAAGAAACGTACAGGCTAATAGACCATGATGAATATCATTGCAAAAAATCTCAACAAGTACTATCAAGCAGAATTCAGCAGGATATTAAAATAAGTATACACTATGATCAAGTGGAATTTATTCTCAGAATGCAAGGATGATTCAACATATTAAAGTCAATCCACATCAACAGAATGAAGGGAAAAAGCACATAATCACTTCAATTGATACAGAAAAAGCATTTGAAGAAATTCAACACCAATTTACGATGAAAAAAACTTAACACACTAAGAAAAAAAGAAAACAACCCCAATATAATAAAGGTCATACATGACAAACTCCCAGTCAACAACATACTCAATGGTGAAAGACTAAAATGTTTTTCTCTAAGATCAGAAAAATAAGAAGGGTACTCACCTTCACCACTTCTATTTAACAAAATTTTGGAAGCCTCAGCCACAGCAATTAGACAAGAAAAAGAAAATAAAGGCATCTAAATTAAAGTTATCACTGTTTACTGATGACATAATATTTATATAGAAAACCCTAAATATTTCACCAAAAAATTTTAGACTAAGAACAAAATTTGCATAGTCGGAAGATACAAAATCAACACAGAAATATCAAGTAGGTTTTTATATACTGACAATAAACAATCTAAAAAAACCAATATCATTTACAACAGCATCATAGAAAATAACATTCTAGAAGTAATGCTATCCAAAGAGGTAAAAGAAAAAGAAAAACTGATAAATTGAACTAAATCAATATTTAAAAATTTTGGGTATCAAAAAAAATGAAAGTACAACACACCAAATGAGAGAAAATATCTACAAATCATGTATCTGGGAGGAGCCAAGATGGCTGACTAGATGCATTCAGAAAGAGATTCTTCCACTAAGGCACCATACCAGCAAGAAGGCTGGCTCACTCTAAGCTGATCTTCAGAAGGAAGACATTGAGACTGGATAGAGGGAGGACACAAACACTAGGCTGAAAAGGGAGAAAGCTGATAAGCCTGCACAGGGTTGCCAAGCACCAGGAC